TTCAGGTTATGTGTTGCAGAAGCAGTGTTAGATTTGCTTTTGAAAATCTGTAGCTGAATGCATGTGAAAATTGAGGGTAGACATTTTGTACAAGGACTGAGTGCAATACAGATTGCACATTTTTAACAATGCAATTGTGTTGGCAAAGAAGGGAACTGATTTCTCAGGACATGTACTGTGCATTGGAGGAAACAATGAATTTTATTTAAAGAATTGCAGATTCAGCAAAAAAAAAATATGTCTAACAAACACCTCATTTGCCCATTAGAGCCCTGAATCTGAACGATTGCTTTTCCAACTATGCAGACAAATCTCACAGAGGAAGCCAAGTCATTTGTTTCTGAACATACCAAACCTGGAAGTATTATTTTCAAAAAAATAAATTATATTGTTGTCAGCTTGAGTGGAAATATGACTAAAAAAGTGCTTAAGCATTTAAACTTAAGAAATCTTCATCTTCAGGTGCTATATTATAATAGATTTCAAAACAAAACAATCATGAAATGTCATTCTTATTTTAATTTCTGATGTGTAGGCCTAACAGTATTGTTACACCACCCAACAGATGTTATATCAATTATCTAAGATGCAATAGTTTCAAATCATTCATTTTGAACACTCTGAAAAATGAAATGGTAGAATGTTGTCAACACTAATGGAATAACAGTATTACACTTAAATACCAGGATGGGTTTAGCAATTACATTGTAAACACCGTTTGACTTGACATTTAAACCTAACACTTGCATCACATTCTTAGAGGAGCTGAGCTAGCGATTACAAGTATGTTAAGCACATTTCCATATTTTGGTATTTCATGGAAATATCTTCATGCTGTATAGATAAGTAAATCATATACATGATATTTTGTTTCTCTGCATATAAATGCACACAATACAGAAGACACTTTTAAAAGAAGGAACATATTTGACAAGGTCTTGGAATTGGTTGAATTGTTTTGTTGTATTTTAAAATGAGAATCAACTGGCAATTGTAAAATGCCAAGTGCAATCTTTGTACTGTATTTCCTGTTTTGAGCAATGATGACATAAAATAATATCTGCAGTCTGCTTGAACATGAAACTTTGTACACAAATGATGGTACACATTATGAAGTTAGAATATGCCTTAATCTCCACTTTCAGATATACAGTATACTGAGGTCTTAAAAGACCACTTTCTAGGCGGTGTGTCGGGTTCCTCAAACATGTCTGATGCTCTTCCAGGAAGCCAACATATCCATTTGTTAATTTCTTGGTCCTTATTTGTACCATCGACGGTTGATCTTCTCCTGTGTAGTTTTGCTTTCGTGCGTGTGTGATTTGGGATGGGGGGAGGTGGGTGTTAAATTAAATCTACCCAGCAGTTCATAAAATATACTTTGTAGCAACAGTGTATTAAACCCTTTTAAAATGTTTAAATGTAAATTGAAAGGTACGGTCAGAGTTTGCACAGTGTTCTTCAAGGAAAAACACTGGGTAGCTTCTCAAAATATTACTTTAGAATTATAACGCTAATCATATTTAATAATGTATATATAAATTAAAATACTCTGAACACTGGTGTGCCTCCTTCTGATCACTGCAATTGTTATTCAGTCAGATTAATATCTCACTAGAAACAGTGCTGGTTAGGTTGGAGTTTTACACTTAAACTTGGACTTTGTTACATTTAAGGATAATATTTCGCTGTTAGTGTTGCAGCTGGTCGCATACAGCATGGCTAGTTTATACACTACTGCCTCCTAGTGAAACGGCAGTAAACTGCTGAATCCTACTAACAACCAACCCACGGGCAAAGCTAGTTTCGTTTCATGAGAAACAGCTCCCAGTGAGAAAACCTATTGAATTTTGTGCAGAGAAGATAGCTTGTTTCATTCGTGTGTCTTGGATTGTTTTATGATGACATTTGGTTTAAAAGTTTATTTATTGTTTTGTAAACTACAGATCTTCTTGTTCTTCTGGAGATCATATCATAATATAATGAATATCATAGAGTGCCCGGATAACATTCAGATTCACTTTGCCTTTAAACTCAGAATGTCAGCAGTGACAGATGTGTTTCCACCCCTTACTCATAAATAATCTGGCTCCTAGAGGATTGTGCCAAGCCAGTGCCTAGCTGGCCAGAAACAGAACTACACCCTAGTTGGGATGGCCAGCCAGACACCCACAATTCAAGAACACTGATTAATCTAGCCAGCATGAAACTGGAGTACTGTAAGCATTCCCATACAAACTCAGAGAGAACACGCAGAGAGCATAGAAGGATCACCAACTTAAAATTCAGCCCAGGACCGAAGACTAATGAGGCAGCAGTACTTTGGAGCTCACTGACCCAGATTGCATCAAGGTGTACAAAATGCATTTATGAACAGAGGTATAACAAATTATTAAAAGGTTTCTTGTGTTGGTAATGCACTCTCTTTTGTTCGATCTCCTTTTCTTTTCTCTTTTTCACATGTTCCTGACTTCCGGTTAAATCAGTCCTGGCCTTTGAACTGTTGAGCT